ATTCTGTGTTTTTCTGTCAATATGGGGTGCTGTGTGTACATTAATGAGGAAAAAATGAACTTAAATGATTTTAGCATATGGCTGCAATATAACAAATAGTGAAAAATTTAAGGGGGTCTGAATACTTTCCGTACCCACTGTACCTCCTTTAATAATCCTGAAGGAACTCTTTACTAGTTCAGCTATACAAATAAAGCACTGACAAACACATATAATAATTACTTATAAAGAATACAGATACACTGCACAAATTCCAAAATGACTGATCAAAATAGCAGCTGATAGAGAATGTGAAGGTATGTCACACCATGTTGAATGTTGTCACAGTAACGCCATTTTTAGAGGGAGGCACTGTATTTACTTGCATACATTCTTGTTTTGTTTGGTTAAAAAGTTGCTTAAATTGTTTAGATCTCACTTTACTAACTGTAGTAATTCGGAATGGATAACCATAGCTGACTGTAGCTAACTTGGAGCAGACCTATAGATCCTGTCTACCAGAGCAATAGACTGAAAAAATGACTTTGCACCCTAATCTCAGCTCTCGGTTCAGGAGCTAACGCTAGCTAGCCGCTGTTGGTAGTAGATGACACAAGCAGTATCCCGTCTTTGATCGCTGGACCTGTGTCACAGTATGATTTGGAGCTAACTGACAGCCAGTTTTTTTTTCACAATTGCCAGCTTTCATCAGGGTAGCTCATATTTGCACCATTTACTCTTAAAGTTTTCACTTGAACCTGCCCTAAAGCATGACTTCCCAACCTTTTGTGCACTGCAGACCATTTTAATATTGCTGTCTTGACAACATTGTTGCCAGCTGAGCAATAATAGCAGCATACACAGTTTGTGTATGCAGCACAAACAGACTGTACAAGGCCAAGATTGTCACCATAAAAAAGCCTAGGAGACATAAAATTATTATACAGCATTCTCGCTCAACCAAATTGTTTCCATGCAGGGCCCATAGAAAATGCTTCATGAATGGCCCACTGCCCCAAACGATGTGAGACTCAACTCTGACTTAACTAGAACTTGCCTCAAAATATGGAAACAGCTCTGGCTGCAACCTGTGTTCACTGTGTGTATGAATGTGTGTGTGTGTATGAGAGAGAGAGCGAGCGCTATTAGGACATCCCCATAAGCATCCACACACGCTTTGACACAACTGTTGAACTGTCATATAATACTCAGCTCTTTAAAGTTGAACTCTTGAACGTGTACCCACACACCGCCTCAGTACTCACACACGTATCTCACTAAAGTCTTCCTGCATTGCTCATAAAAAGATTCATGTTACAAACATCTGGGAACTTGAAAGCTTTGCATCTTCCTGTGTGTGTGTGTTTGTGTGTGTTTATGTGTGCATTAGACCAGCCTTGACCCAGTAACCTGCAGACTTCTGCGAATCCATATTCCCATCTCACAACTTGTGTCTGTGAAAGTTTCAGCATGTGGAGACGGACATTCGGATAGTGCGACATGTTACATGTTGGACTGATAAAAACCTTTAGTGATATTAGTCACATGCCAAGACAATAAAACTTTAAATTGGTATTCTCTATGGTCTCAGGGACTCAGGTTATTGCTTTTCATGAAAGGAAAACATCCTGTTAAATTTCAAACTGTTGAGTAATTTTATTAACTGTTAATATTATGATGCTGTGGCATTGTAAACCGTTCAGTTTCCTGTTAACTAACAATAATGTGAAAACAGTTTTGCTGCCGTGTCAGTCAGGACTATTATGGCACTGTTCATTGTCAGAGCTTAAATCTGTATCATGTAAGAAGCTGCACTTTTTAACTGCGCAAGGTGTGATGCTTCTGTAACAAAAGCTTGTATGGAAAATGACATCTGTATTTAATATTTTGCATGTTAGACAACTCTCCTTGTAAATCGATCTGTCGTTTTCTGTACACGGGTTTAGTGTATTTGACTCTAAGTAAAAACTGTCACTCTGGGATACATTGTGTTGTCTTGTGCATGCCTCCTGCTTCCAATCACCTTCACTGTGCCACTCCATTCATCTGTCTCACCACACACACATTCCCATTTCCATGATCTGAGAGCTTTTGATGCGGTTTGTAATTGACGCAAACACCGCAGGAGGAAAGCTGTCGACAGGAGTCCAACTTCAACCAGAAATCGTTAGCACTCGACAAAATTAGCCCACAGCTGATGTGTTGTAAAGTACAGTCTCTATGTTGCGGTAAATTTCATGGTGTTTTTGTGTTGGATTTTGTTGCATTCACTCAGTGCAAGTGTGTGATACTGAGAGGCTTGAAACTGTTTTCAGAGATAAATCCCAAGAACCACCTGGTGTCAATAACAGAGCAGCTGACTAATGGTTAACATACTGTAATGGAGAGGTGAAGCTGTCAGTGCAAGAAAACAGAGTAAGCTGAAATGTCTTTTTTTTTTTTTTTGTTCTTTGTGTGTCACATACGTTGGCACAGCACTGCAAATATATGAAGTACACAAGTCCTACTGCAGCAGAGTCTGTTTACAAAGCATGTCGTTCACAGTGAACTTGTCACCAGGATGTTTCTTTGAAATCTTTGTCTCTCATTTGGTGCTCTCCTTTCTCTCCCCCGGTTCCTTTCAGTTTCCTTGACCTTTTCCTGTGCTGCCATGATTTTAACTTTCTCTGTGTGTGTGTGTGTGTGTGTGTGTGTGTGTGTGCTTCCATGTTTCTCTGTGTGTGTCTAGCTGAGTGTGAGCATAAGATCCACAGCCCCACTGGGACCCTGAGTAGCCCTAACTGGCCAGACAAGTATCCCAGCCGTAAGGAGTGCACCTGGGACATCACAGCCACGCCGGGGCACCGAGTCAAGATTGTAAGTGTGCATCAAATGAAGCATCTTACAAAGCTTTCTGGGCTTCTCTTTCTTTTTTAGGCCATTGTCTTGAACACTACTGGCACGACTCCCTCCCTTACAACCATGCATTATTCTACTGTATGTAAAAGCCTCAGGCTGCCCCTACCCCCTTCTTTCTTCATGATGTTACACTTATGAACCCCAAATGTGAACAGAGAAGACAGCGCACGTTTGTACATTCAGGCTAACCTCAAGCATGTGCTCATGTGTTAGAAAGAGGCCTTGGGCAGGGGCCATCTGTGTCCCTGTGTCTTCTCCTGTGTGTATATACTGCACGTGTGCATGCCTGCACACACACATGCGTACTTGTGCTTCTGTCTTTGTGATGACACCCACTGACATAATGCATTCCCTAGCCCCTTACCCTAACCTTAACCGTTACCCTAATCCTAACATAAACCTAATTCTAACCTGATCCCTAAAACCAAGTCTTAACCCTCAGAAAGCTGTTGTGGAAAGTGAGGACCAGGCAAAATATCTTCACTTTACAAAAATGTCCTCACTCTGTAGCAAAAAATACTTTTTTGGTCCTCATTAGCACACGAATACAAGAACACACACGTGCATAATACAGTACATTCCCTAGGCCTAACCCTGACTATCACAACCACATTTAAAAATGACCTCATTGCCAAGATCGGAGGCCTGTTGTATACTTAATTTGTACCAGTGCATACAAATAGACATCTGGCTGCAATGTGAGCAGCATTATTTACTGTACATACTTGTGTGCACTGTACATGGAGGATTAAAAACTACACTGATCAGCCATAACATTATGACCACCTGCCTAATGCTGTGTACACAGGAATCAGTGCAGCGATTTGTTGGCACTCGTGCCACTCCGCAGCTCACTGTACATCATCTGTGAATCTGTGTGCTTCCACAGTTAAACTGTCAGGAAGAGCATGAATGTGTTGACCATTCAGTGAAAAACCTATGAAAAAGGAGTGAAAACCGTGGTCATGAGGACAAGTTAGAGAATTTCTTAGACAAATTCAGCAGCCTCTGGTGTGATATCACCACTATAGCTGCTGAATGTTTCTCTTCATAGAGACCAAAGTACAGTATTGATCCTTTTCATCCATTTTAACAAAGAAAATTGAATCTTCTGAAAAGGATGAATGAAATTTTAAAGTTTAATACACAGTAGGTCAGCCTCATTATCAGTGAGCCTTCGGCATCCTTGAACCTGTTGCTGGTTCACTGTCTGTCCTTCCTTAACCAAAAACGCATTACATCATCAAATATGATGAACACATTTACAGGTTTTTGTACTTGTTTTGAATATATGACTGTGTGCAACTTGTACACCGATTTGGAAATGCAAAGACGCATGTGTGTTTTGTGTGTGTACTTTCTGTGACCCACGTTAAGTATTGAGTGTGTGTTTGTATTGCGATTAGCCAAGCTGCTCTGTGTATCCACAATAATGACAGCACTGCAGGAAAAATTTAATACCAGAAATCTGAGCATAGGTCATTCTGTTATTGCTTCTTGGGAATAGTAAACAGATCCATAAACCAATGTTTCACCAAAGCTACAGCAAAGCATCTGGAAACCAATATGCCTGCCAGAATCACACACTTCCTCTCACTAATAACATCTTCCCATCATCCTACCTTCACTCTCCCTTCTCCTTCCATCTAGTTTGTGAATTTAAATACATTGTGCAGGCTATGGTGGTTTGTGATGGCATGATGATGCGGCACAGCTCAGGAAACAATCAGAGAGGTGTGAGTGTGTGGGAGATGGGCCTGCAAGGTGTTACGACTTGACTCGTGCCGCTGCATGTCAAAGTGCATGGGTGGAGTTTTTTGCATATGGGCTGTAGGGTCATGTCCCTACCTACAGTCGGTCAGAAATTTACATACGCTTAGGTTGAAGTCATTAAAACTGATTTTTAACCACTCCACAGATGTCATGTTAACAACCTCTTGTTTAGACAAGCTGGTTAGGACATGTACTTTATGCACAACACAAGTCATTTTTCCAATAGTTGTTTACAGTGTATGTAAACTTCTGGCCCACTGGGAATGTGGTGAAAGAAATAAAAACTGAAATCTTTTTTTCTACTATTATTCTGATGTTTCATATTCGTAAAGTAGTGATCCTAACTGCCCTAAGACAGGAAGTGGTTAGAGGATGTGTAAGCAAAGATGGCAGTAAGCCATGGGTTTCTCCTCTGTATTAAAAACCATGGAATGTCAATATATTTATTCTTTAAAGCTACTGTCTAACCAGTCAGTGTGTTGGCTTTTTAAATGTGTCTAACACTCAGAAAACCCTGAATTTTGGGTTTGAGTTTTATTTATTTTCACAATTAAAATCAAACTAGTTACATTTTTAAAAAGGAAACTATTGTCCACCCCTCCTTGAACCGCCACCTTATTGTGGTGGAGGGGTTTGAGTACCCGAGTGATCCTAGGAGCTATGTTGTCGGGGGCTATATGTCCCTGGTAGGGTCTCCCAAGGCAAACAGGTCTTGGGTGACGGGTCAGACTAAGAGCAGTTCAAAAGCCCTTTATGAATAGATTAAGAACAAGGACCGTGACATCGCCCGGCATGGCGCAGCCGGGGCCCCACCCTGGAGCCAGGCCCGGGGTTGGGGCTCGAATGCGAGCGCCTGGTGG